CCCGGCACCAACCATAGTAGTATTTTAACACCAAAACTAAAAAACGCTGCGAAAGATTTAAAAAACAACGCTGACATTGTCATCAGACGCGCTGATACATCTAACACATATGTTATAGTCAACAAAGCTGATTACCAGCAAAAATTAAAAGATATCGTCGATGACCGATCTAAATTCACCAAATTGAAACGAAATCCCACTGAGAATTTAAAAGGTCTGTTAAAAGCTAATAACAGCTCACAACGCGGAAGTCGATTCCTGAAAATTCAAAAAATAGTTGAGATTACCAACCGGGATACCTATATGGAAACATAAAAACACATAAACCAGGATACCCGCACGACCAATTATTTCCCAGATACCAACACCTATCTACGAGCTATCAAAATTCCTTAACGATATCATCACTCCATACCTACCTACCAATTACAGCATCACCTCCACCCACGAATTCCTACAAATTTTAAAAACTACAAATGGACCAAATCAAGGTATAATAGCGTCACTGGACGTTGAAAACTTATTCACAAAGTCCCTGTTGACAAAACTATCGATATTATCCTCAACTCTATATACAATAATAATTCCATCCCTCCGCCATCCATCAAACCACCTATCCTAAAAAAATTACTACACGCATGCACAACGAAAGTCCCCTTCTATGACCATAATGGCAATATTTATACCCAAACTAATGGTGTTAGTATGGGAAATCCATTGGGTCCATGCTTTCTAACTATTATATGTCCTACGTAGAAAATACCATATTTACACAGGTCCACAAACCGAAAATCTATGTTCGCTACGTAGATGATATATTCATTTTAGCTGATAACATTAAAGAAATAGAGACACTTAAGACCACATTTGAGAAAAACTCCGTCCTTAATTTTACATATGAACTTAGCCAAAAAAACAAACTACCATTCTTAGATATCCTCGTTGAACATAACAATAACACTTTCATTACATCATTATACAGAAAACCCACCAGCAAAAACTCGTGCCACCTTAATTTCAAAAGCGAATGTCCACTTAGGTACAAAATAGCTGTAATAAAAAACTTTCGAAATAGAGCCCACCAGAACTCATCCTCTCGACTACTTTTTTCTCAAAGAACTTAATAACGTTAAACAAACACTAATTAACAACGGTTTCCCTAACTACCTTATAGACCAACAAATTAGAATATTCCTCCCCCAAAGCAAGTAATAATGATAGCGAACACAACTAAAAATCACATACACATTTATTACAAAAACCAAATGCATATTAATTACAAGCAAGATGAATCTGCTCTAAGACATATTATAAAGAAATATACTACCCTATTGACCCGGATAAAAAATCAAACTTATTATCTATTATAAAAAAAAAAAAAATTTAAGACGGCCAACCTTATCCTCAAAAAAATAACAACACACCAACGAAGTCAAAATTACAAAAGAGCGAACATTATCTATGAGTTCAATGCCCTTTTAAGGAACTGCGTTCCTCACCAAACCGGACTCATAAATAATTACATCGGCTACACAACCACATGTTTATCCAGACGTCTTACATTACACCTATCTGATCACAGTTCCATCAGAACACATTTAAAACACACACTCAGATTTACCCGACACTATTAGGAACATACTAGTAGAAAACACTAATATATTAACTGCATCCACTTGCAAAAAAAAGACTAAAAATAATGGAAGCTCTAATAATAAAAAAGAAAAAGCCAACTCTTAACAATATCAATTATGAACAAAGCCACAATGTGCTAACCGTATTGGAAACTAAAAACATCACTACCACACACTGAACATACATAGAACACACACTCTACTAAGCTGATAATTGAACCATCCTTGATAATGGCTAAAGGTATAGCCGAAAGCGCTCGGAAACACAGAACATTCGGACAGTTCTTACACACTCTTTGTCCAGAAAAAAAGCTCTTGTCAGAACACAAGAAAAATTAAATAAAAAGCTCAACTGTAGTACCTTGTCTGTCGTTTTTAATGAAACATGCATAAAGGAAGGATTGCTGCTAATTATACAAATATATATATAATATATATATATATATATATATATATATATATATATATATATAGGAGGCCTCTTTCATATATATATATATATATAAGGAGGCCTCTTTCATATATATATATATATATATACATATATATATATATATATATATATATATATATATATATATATATATATATATATACATTTAAAAGGAAAACAGATCACTTTAAGGTACCATTATAATAATTTATTTCACCAGAGCCCTTTAAAGGACGCCGGATCATCAGATAGCACTTCCAAAAATGAAATGATGTATATCTTCCGAGCGGTTATACGGACATTTTAACATATATTTAAGATATTCAACATCGAAGATAATATTATGTTGACATAGAAGGTTGCTATGCGACGATAACGACCGCGGGATAGCAGATGCTGTTCGTGCGTTCAAGATGCGGTACTATGACATCATACCACGCAAGAGTCTGAGATATTAAAAAGAGAACCATATGTCTAGATACAATGCAATGTGCTGTGACTAGTATGAAATATAATTTTGTTAAGTGTGGGTTGTTTTGTTTTAATGGAGATGACCTCCAATATCTGAAGGTTCTTTTTACTCTATGTTTTTTTGTCTTTATTCTCACCCGAAATTGATGCAAATATACGAATATTAGAACGGCTCATGATCAGACATAATAGACATTCATTGTCTGTTATATTTAACAATATATATTTAAATAAGGATCTACTGCTCAATCACACTATATGTATATATATATATATATATATATATATATATATATATATATATATATATATATATATATATATATATATATATCTGTGTGTGTGATGGTGTATGTTTGTATGTGTAACTAATGGAAAATTTAAGTTGCCCGCTACGTCTTTCGAAAGACTAAATAATGTTTTTTTTGATATATATATATATATATATATATATATATATATATATATTGAAATGCCACTATGAAACAAATCAATATATATATATATATATATGTATGTATGTATGTATTGATTTGTTTTATATATATATATATATATTGAAATGCTGCCATGAAACACACACATAGACACACACACACATATATATATATATATATATATATATATATATATATATATATATATATATATATATATATTATACTGCTTACCAATCTAAAGTAGTTTGTACAGCGAAAACTAAATTTATTACAACGGAAAGTAATTTTTTATCAGCCGGAGGTTAAATTTTTTTCAATCAATTTACTTTACGTTGACAAATTTTATTTTCGTTTGAAAAATTTCCAATTGATAGAATTTTTTTTTCCCTTCGCTGGAAAAAAAATTTAATTTTTGTTGAGAAAAAAAGAAATTACTTTCGACCGGATGATTGCACAGTTGGTTGGGGGAAAAATAACTGGGTCGTCAATAATATTATACAATACAAAATATCCTACTAGAATAGGTAACTTGCTTTGTTCCAGAGCGAGATTTTCTCCTTTTTTTTTTTTTTTTTTTTTCATGTCATGATCGTTTAAGATCAGGGGTTTTCACAAAATTATTTTTATTATGCATTAATGTCTAACTGCTGACTTTTGCAGTGTTTGTCATTTAGAGTTTTCATTCTCTTACTGTTGTCACCGAAGTTTAGAGAGTTAATTTTCACTTCATTTCACCTATCATGGGGGAGGGGGAGGTTTAGAAGAGACGGTTTCATGTTTTTCCCGAGAGCACCTTTGCGAAAAGGAACGCAATAGTGCATGTCAAATATATTAACGGGGATTTTGTAGATCATTTTCTCCGTCGATATACATTTAGATACTATCACATTATGAAAACAAAAAGAAAGTCAATTTTTTTTTTCAGATGTGTCCAAATAAATGTTTGACGTTTCTAACCAAGACTGTAACAGGATTTTTTTTTCCAATATAAGGTTCAACAACCACTCGTGATAGAGGTTTACTGAATGAGGTGTGTGATATGAATGTAAGAGGATGCAAAAGGAATTGAAGATTATGGCGATAACAAGGACAGAAAGTGATTGTTTATTGACTTAAAGCGGTCAAGATTTGAGTATTTAGTGAAGTATTTCCTCCGGATTTTGTTCCACAATGTAACACTTCTCAGGGGAAAGAAGCTAATATAGTAGAACTTCCTTCTTACACATGCGAAAGAAATGGGGATGATTCAACTCCGTTGAGCAAGCATGACGTATCCTAGTTGTCTGAAATGGTGGAAATAGCGATAAGAATACGGATAGTCTTGCAATTTTGCGTCTGTGGAGAAAGATGACGTAGAATTGAAAATAAACAATTCTCTACAAGAACATCTAATTCTTTTTACACATACGAAAGAAATGGGGATGATTCGACTCCGTTGACCTAGCATGACGGATCCTAGTTGTTAAGGTCTAAAATGATGAAAATAGCGATAAGAATATGGATAGTCTTGCAATTTTGCGTCTGTGGAGAAAGATGGCGTAGAATTGAAAATAAACAATTCTCTACAAGAATATCTAAACTTTTTTTTTAACTCTATCGACGTTTATAAAGTGAGGTTTGTGTTTCTCTCCCCAAATATGCCAGCAATACCCCACTTTTGGTCTAATGTGAGACTTATATATTTAAAACATGCCAGAACGAGTAAGTTGTTTCCTGAACTGGTACAAAGAACCGATAATTTTTCCAACATCTTTAGCGATGTATCATATGTATATTACTGGTATCTCTCTAATGGCATGTAAACCCTTATCTAAATATCTTATACGGATTTAATTTTATTTTTGGCGATAATAATGCTTTTAGTGACATAAGTTTTACTATTTAATCCACAACTGAGGATACACAAATTTCTCAAAGGTATTTGCGCGTAAGTGAATATGATCAACCCAACTTGAATTGGAACTCGACTCTCCGTTCGATAATTCCTACCCATTATCCATTTACACCGCCCGCACACCCAAGCTTACGGCACCTGGTATTCCCAAGCGGTCACCCATCTAGATGCTTTCCAGGGTCAATGTTGCTTAACTTCAGGTGATCGTACGGAACTGTGTTTCAACGTGATATGGCCGTAAGCCGTATCATATGTATGAGTTCCACTAAAACTCTGGAGTGACCTTGACTCCTAACAGACGTACGTAACATGGAAATTGTTTGAATTAATTTTCATAAAACTAAATATTTTTTTAACTAACTATTGTTTATTTTCTGTTATATTGCTACTGCTGCAGCCTTTTTATAAAGATTATATTACAATGTTATGGCAAAGAGTGTCCGTTGACATTGCAAAAATGGCTATCAGCCTTCACATTATAACACTCGTCCTGTGTGAAGAATAAAAGATTGTCTATATATCATTTATCAGAAAGAGTGTAATATCCCATCCAAATAATGCTCTGATGAACTAGCAAATCTTCTTACCCCTTGCTGGTAAATTCTCGCACATCTGTCATATTGAACACCTATTGCAACTTAGAGTTATTATTTATTCGGATTTTTACGTAATAATTCCCCGAATGAAAGACAAAATCAATTCACTAAAAGTGTTCCAATGCTAACTATGTAAATTCTTTACACAGAAAGATTTTTTTTTATGGCTGGAGAGGGATGGCATTATGAAATTTTCCTGAAAGATGAGCAAAGTTAATGAACCAAAACTGTAAATAATTTGTTCAATAAAGTAATTGCAGAAACGTTCTGTTTGAATTTCTTGGATGAGGAGTTATAGTGACTTGCAATGTTTACAATCGGACTATTGTCGCCGTCTTTGTTTTTATTACCACAATGTTTCGGATGCTGTATCCTCTGACCTTCATCAGGTGTTTGTCGATCAGTATAACCTATAAAGAAAAGAAAAGAGATGAAGTGTGACTCGAATCAGGAGGCAAATTAACTTCAAATTTCCAAGTCCGATATTCAGGATTGCAATACAGGACAACAGCGTGATGGTTTAAGTGTTGCTTCGTGAATTTGATAGCATAGTAATTATGAGTTGGCCGAGCAAACATAGGCTCGGTGGCAACCGGAAGAGCAATAACTGAGCAGTACTAAATAATTTTGTTATTTATTGATTCAACTTTCCAGGTTATTTAAAGCCAGGAATTTTTAGATTTTAAGAGGCTTTTTTTTCCAGATAATAATATTTTAGTGATACAAATCTTACTAATTAACCCATTGCTGGTGGGAGAAGTGGTAGAATCATACCATTCGTAAGGGTATTTACGCGTAAGTGAATATAACGAACCCAACGGGAATTGGAACTGAACTTTCCGGTTAAAAGTTCTGAGCCGTAATCTATTATAAAACTGATACATCCAAGGTTACAGCATCTTTTATTTCCAAGTGGTCACCCTTCTAAGTATGAGGAGGTAAAGCATTGCTTACCTTCGGTGAACTTGCGGGTACCGGTGTTTCAACGTGATTTAGCCGTAAGCCGAGGACTAAATAAGAAGTAAACGAAAAATCTGTAGAGATGATCAACGGACGAGAAGAATTCACCCCTGTAGTTTAAATAAAGTGTTCCATTCAAAATTCTCAGAAGGTTACAAGGATTGAGATGATCACGGCCGGAGGTCACAAAGGCCGAAATCTTTTGATAATAACCAAACGATCCAAATGAAAATTATATTAATGGCTGTAGATAATTTTAAGAAAGTGTATTTTCTTTTTACTCGGTAAACTGAATTTTAACGTTACCAAATACACAAACATAAAACTTGTTTTTTTTCTTTGCCTACAATTATACACACAAAGGGGTGCTACCATAGCATAATATATATCGAGACATTTGTGACCTTCTGTAAATCAAGATGCACTCATTATTGCTGGAAAATGCTCAGGAAAAACGGTGACATTTTTACTGTTTTTTTTTAATGACATTATGTCAATTTACAAACATTAAAATCACTATTTGTTGATTTTTTTTTTACATTTTTTTTTTGTATACAAAATTGATTTTCAATACATAACCAACTGACTGTTCACAGCCTTTAACTCTAACCCTAACATATGTCATACTTCCAACAATTGTTCAATATCATACCATAATAGAAAATTAATGGAAGATATCATACTATAGTAGGAAATTAATGGCAGATATCATACTATAGTAAAAAATGAGTGGAAGATATCGTACTGTAGTAGAAAATAAATGGTAGATATCATACTCTAGTAGGAAATTAATGGCAGATATCATACTGTAGCAGAAAATGGATGATAGATAACAGACTATAGTAGCACTTAAAAATGAAATATACCTAGGCTTTTTATAAACTAAAATTGACACTTGAATTGTAAACGAATAACTACCTCCTTTATTTTTTATCTATAAAATTATTATTGAAACTTCCGACAACGTCTAACTGCCTCTAAGAAGCCAGTCTAGCTTTTAACATATTTTATTTTTAAGAAATATATAACAGATTAAAATGTAATGCACGCAAGTGAAATATATTCATACTTTTATGTATCAAATTAGTTGGAACACTTTATACGCAAGAATGAACCTGGGCACCTAATGTGAATCTAACTTTTTCAATGAGAAGTCAAAAACTAGGTAGACTTATTCATCAAGCAATACATCATATTTTAGAAGCACATGAATACTTTTATAACAGCGATAATGCTTTTATTATTTTAATAAAGCGAAACAGAAAAATATAGCAGTCATATAAATAGCTATGGACTCCTAACCATGAAGTTTTGGTTAACTAACAAGTTTAGCTTGACTGTTATTGGTGGATTAGATTTTCATTACGGGCCCAAACGATGTGGCGTTATACTATTATTGTCATTATCATGTCTTCGAAAGACGGAGATTAAGAGGGAGTTTTTTTTTATGACGATTGCATCACGTTGACTAATAAATGCAATGCGGAACAGTCATACACGGCCGCAGCTGTTGCAACTGAAGTTCCGATAGCATAGCATTGCCTCTTGTTCCTGAGAGCGTCCCTGTGAGTATTTTCAAAGAAAGAGACAGCATGGTTGGTTTTTAGAAGACAAGCGTCAAGGTTCTCAGCTTAGGTGGACGATTTGCAATGATCGCTGTGACAGGCACCAAAGGGTTTTTTTTTTCAGGCAATCTTTGAATCGCTTCTTTGGTGGCCTTTCTACCGTGATAACGGTGTTGTACTATACACCGAGTAAATACTATTCGAAAAAATTCCCGCGTGTCTTAGAACTAAAAACACTCAATGAATAACAAAGAGCGATCAAATGGTGGGCTGAACATAAACTTTGTTGTCCTATACAGAAAAAAAAAATTTGTGCATTTGCTAATATTCGTCGCCATATATATTTGTCCAGCTATATCAACTCCGTGTGAATTCGGGCATTTTCAATGTTATCAAAATCTTGGACATTTTTTTTTTTCGGGAATATTTTTGACTTGACAGAATTTGACCAGATGATTAATGCTTTTGAGCTAACATTGAATGGATGCGAACGCTTTCCAAGCAAACAATGCTCCACTTAATTGAAATGAGATTAAACTACAACGAACGAAATAAGTCTTATCTAAGAGAAGAGTCACTAATGGTATTTAGCACTTGTTCATTGCGGGTCAGTTCTCAGCGCGCTATCTCCTCTTCTGCGAACAGGAACGGGCTTATGGCAAAAAAAGTTAATTATCCGTTGTAGAGAAAGAAGAAAAATATAACACGCCATTGTATATTTTCTCCCGGCCTGTGTACCCACGGGTAGGCAATGTCTTAAAAAGTTTCCACGGCCATTTTCACAGAAGATAACTCGGAAATTTCTAAAATACATTGAGAGCGAAAAACGAACAACATGAAAGTAAATGTCAATAACTTTTTTACGAGCCTTTGAAGGTATAAGGCATTTATTTGGGCAAGGAAACATGTTAACAACGCGATATTTACGAAACAGAAATCGAATAAAAATTCTCTGAAGCCAGCTCATTAGGTTTTACTCCAAGAATAGGCGGCCAATATTGATATTCACTGAACATTACCTAGTCGAATACGTCATCACAGTTATCAGGCTTCTCAGTGAGTTTCGAACTCTCTATAGGAACAATGGTCGCTAAAACTGTTTCATAACGTTGCGTCTAACGGCGTAAAGAGTCGTTTCTTAGTGTTAGAACTTAAATATTTCTACCAAAAAATATTTTTAAATTGTTCATCTTGGACAAGGCGCAAGAGCCACCCAATCTAGACGGTTACTGATGGAGAATGTTGTATGAGGGGTAATATCAAGAGGTATGTGGCGCTCTTTATGAGGATATATGAGAAAGACAACGGTTGACCCTAGAGTTGAAGATATTAAGAAGGTTGTGGTCGAGTAAGCTTCCTCTTGAGAGTCGATTCTGCAAAGTAGTGGTTCCTGAGGGGAAAATTGTAGAACTCGTAAGACCTAAGCGAATTCAAGGCAAATTAGAAATAAGAACCCAAGCGACTGAAACCTTAGGGCGTTCAAGAAGCGTTATATATCTTACCTATGAACATTAATGGGTGCGTCCAAATCCTCATAAATACGTTGGACACTATTATAAGTGGGGGTTTATATGCTGTCTAAGTATTCCACCGCTAGCAGAGTTTTACCTACTTCACACCGCTGGCGAATATTGTTTTTGTTGAAGTTTACAATTTCATTTCAAACCTCCGTTTTGGTTATTACTCTTAGAGATTGTCGCTACAGAACCGGAAACAAATTGATTCACGAAATAACAAGACCATACGAAAACACCCAAAAGCAGTAAGAACTAAAATGAATAACATATTTACCTAGAGCAGAAAATCAAGATATTGTCCTCCTCCTTCTTCTTCTTCTTCTTCTTTGTAACTCTTAATAAAGTTGTCTTTCTGTTATATCACCTAAGCTACATCTATTTACTCAAACTCGCTATGTCAAACTCACTATGTCTCTCTTTCCTTCAACATGTCCTCTGAGTATCAGATTTTCCATTGTTTCTTTCTTCATTATGTTATAGACCTCAACTGTCTCTTCCTGCTGATGTTCGATTCATCGTATTCCCAGCATCCTTCTTCAGAACCAAATAGGTATTGCTTCAAGTTTTTACTTCATCTTTGAGGAGATTTTCCACCACTCACCA